TCTTATCGTTCTCTTATAGACGAAGCCTGTAACTGTGGTTTTTCGGGAAACTCAACATTGGTTTTCGAATTTTCGGACGTCTGGCATTAGAATTTTGGAATTTTGAATGATTTGAAATCCTAAAACTTAAACAACAATCACTTCTCACTTAATTTGATGTGTCAATCCCTATGACAAGTTCTCTTTAACACTTCTACATTAGTTTATCTTGATTTTCTTACTAATCGACAAAAATGTAAGAAATATGTTCGAGTCGATATGAAATAGAATCATTGTTTTTGCAGTTCATAGCTGAAAGAATTATGCTGATGACATTTTAAAGTCAAATGAAAATTTCGAAACCTCAATTTTAGAAAAATTTACCTTTCCTATCTCACAATATGGCTTTATGAATCTCGTCAAAGGTCGTTACAAACATATAGAAATGCTAATCCCCATCGGTTTGATTTTGGATCGTCTGCTATCATATTTCTCAGCATTTTTTATCAAAGTATTTTGAAAAGTTCTCTGCATTCTAAGGGTTCAAAATTATAGATTTTGCTTTATCATGTTATGCATTCTGACACATACTATGATGAAAATTTCGTCATGAGACTTCTCTAAGTTTATTAACGATTACGATTAATATCACAAAAAGAGAGTTCTTGGGTGAAACCAAAAGAAGTAATATTTCACATTCTAATTTACATAGATTATCCTAAAAAACTTTTTCATGGTACACACTGTTGACTGGTACACGAGATTATTTTCCAAATCAAAAAACAAAAACATCTTACGATCGCTTAACTAAAGGTAGGAATGATAACTTTTGTGAAGCTGATGAGAAGAGCGTGACACATGAAAAAATGAGGAATTGTTGAAAAAATTTTGCATCCTGTATTAAACTGTCTAATTTTTTCTCAAGGGCATTCTGTGCCATCCGCCGATTTCTGTCATAAATTCTCTGTATATAGTCATTTTATTCTTATAAATTATTTATTTAATTAAAAAGCGCATGTCAGATTGTCGTGCATATCAGAGTCTCTACTTAATTCAACTGGATTTACACTACATATACGACTATTTATTGGAGAAGACACCTGTTGTTAGAGTTTTGGGAATCATTAAGCTTTTCACCTGTTTTCTTCTCTTAACAGATAAGAGTTAAAAGAAAAAAACTTTAGTAGGCACTGGATCCTAACTTGCTTTTTGTAACAAAAAAAAGAAATGAAATTTAGAGGATCAGCATAGACAGAAATTTTGGTTGGCAAATCAGCCATTTTTCATCCTTGTTTGGTAAAGATTTTTGTCAAATGTCACAATACTTAGCTGAAAATTTTTACAATGGTCTCTCTGTTGCAGTCGCAGCATATTCTTCAAATTTCAGGCAATTGTAATGTATCCGATTGGAAATATATTTTGGGGAAGAAGCCGCCTGAAGAAGCTAAAACCCGATTTTCTACTTGTCTGTGTGTTTATGTGAATAGAGTCGAATTCTAGGAATTTTTGTGGCAAACTGATCAGCGGAACAAATTCTACATACTCTAAGATTTTTATTAGCTTTGTACATGATCACTGGATATTTCTGACGAAATCTCATGAATCTTCTCAATAATCAAATTTGGTTCACTTAATGATCTCGAGAAAGAAATAAGGCAAACAGTTGACAAGAACATTTCTTGTCATCGGTAACTGCATAAAGCATATAAAATTTTACGCAATCATTCCGGTGTGTATATTTCGTTTCTAGAGCTTCCGATTGATTCCTACTATTATTCGAGGACGAGAACTGTGTGTGATAAGTATTTGTAATAAAAAGCGAAGAATATAATCAACATTTATAGATCAAGACAGTGAGAAATATGAAAAACTTTATACTTAGGGCATACCATAAGTATTGTCGATCCTATCTCAATTTCGTATAGATGGCTTGAGGAACTTGTCTTTTTATATAGACTGATAGTAAAAACGAAGCTTTACATTTCTACACTATTTGATCATAATTCATCTAATATCATAATAATAAAATTTTCATTAGACTTGTTCAGCTATGATATGTAATGGTAGCAGTAGTAGATGTTGTCTTCGCTGTGTGTTCTTGTCTTGATCTTCTCTTTGCTCTTCTCCTCTTTTCTTTATTCTTTTCCTTGTCTCTTTGAATGCTAAACCGTCTAATATATATATAAGAATATACAAAAGAGTAGTGGCGATAGAACAAAAAAAGAATACAGAAACAAGTTCAAAAAGTTTGTATTTCATCAAGTGTTCAAAATAATCGCCTTGGTTGTCCACACATAATTGCATTTGTTGAATACATTTATCGAATGTTTTTATACTCTTATTTATTCAAAGACTTCATGAAAACATCATTCTCACCCTCATCTTCAAGAACAAATAGAAGATCAAGATAAGAATACACAGCGAAGACAATATGGACTAATGTTATCATTACATATCATAGCTAAACAAGTCTAATGGAAATTCTATTATTATGATATTAGATGAATAATGATCAAATAGTGTAGAAATGTAGAGCTTTATTTTTACTATCAGTCTATATAAAAAAGACAAGTTCCTCAAGCCATCTATACAAAATTGAGATAGGACCGACACTACTTTTGGTATGCCCTAAGTGATTGTCATTGTGAGATAACAAGACAAAATTGACGAAAAAGTCTCTGTAAGGTATCGAATGCCATCAACGAGACACCGACTGAAGTGGGTCCTTTCAACCAATTCATTGTCACACCCTTGTAAAGACCACGTGTGATGCCTTCGTTTCGAAGAATGTTCAATGCAGTATGCACTGCACCAAGAGTTCGTTCATTGGGGCGAACAACTGCAGCAGTTTGTAGTCGACGCCGAATAGTATCAAATGGATAAGAGACTGTTTGACCCACAAGACCGGCAAAGGCTCCGAAAAGTGTTCGTTCAAGTTTGCTTATAGGTCGATTCGGGTAGTTATCTAAGTGAAAATTATTACATCAACTAGAAACAATACGCTTCTTCTCTTTTCGATATACCTCGGTGAAAGTATTTGAGAGATTCATAAGTATAAAAGACAGTACCCGAATAGGGTATTACGCCAGCAAATGATGGTAATACTCCTTTGAATAGACCCCTGACACCTTCTTGTCGTAGAATAGTTTGAAACACACTGCGTAGTGTTTTATATCTGTACAGAAGAGAAAAATTATGTTTCAAAGGATCTTGCTTGAATGAAGAACAAAAAAAACCTTGAGTGATCAGCGTTTTATCATAGAAGAATCACTATAAACCTCTATACAAATATTAAATACATATTTATAGGAGCGAGGAATATCGGTGGACAGGTACTCAAATTTGATCCGCCACGACTCATCTGATATCTATACCAGAAGAAAGTCTTCATATTTTCACATAGTTCCCAAAATATTCAATTCTGACTTTGACTTATACAAGTAAAAGTTTCCAGAATCATTCTCAATTTTATCTTTATCTGAATGTTTTCCGCACATAACTATCTTGGTGTGTCCTAGTGCTTCATACCAGAGATCGGGTTATTTTAAAATCTGCATAATAGGAACAGATGCGTCTTGTTTTGTACCACAAGATGAATATCCGTGGTTTATACTACATTGTCTTTTTCGAAGGAAATACAGGACTTCTCTATCTCATTGACAACACTTTTTCCGTAAACCTCTCGTAGTCCTCATATAGTAACTTGTTCTTCTATATCACTCATATGACAAAACTGAAACTTTCTCAGAAATCACATTCTAAGTGCCTCTAAAAAATGTACTAGACAGGGTAGAAAAAAAGTCGCCTACCTGGCCATTCTCCGATAGACATTTTAAAGTGTTACCATTTTGCAGAGATTTTCAAAATGTTTTTTTTAGAATGAGTTGAATAAGACTACTCCAAAATGAAATATTTAACCTAATCTTTGTCTACAGCGTGCAAAATTAAGTTTGATAGTCTGTATGTCAGATCCAGGGACGATCTACGTAAGTGGTGCAAATTTAAAACATGCTAAACGATCGGAGATCAGGTTCCAACTTTTCATCTTCCACTTTATTGTGTAAAACCGCTATGTAGTAATGGAAACAATGCTCTTCAAATTCAAATACACATTTTTGTAGAGTTTTTTAAGAGCTACAAAACCAGCTATTTGATCTTTGATTTCAGCTCAAATCAATCGTTTACACAAGGATATATGCTCGACCACAAAAGACTTATTGTTGCTTTATAGTATGGTTTCTATGATTCAATCAAACAGTGTTATTTTTTGATGAAAATCGCAGAATAAAGATAACGCCATGTTAGTGGCTAGAGTCTTAAATATGGACAAATAATGTACAGGATTTATACTGATTCGTTAAATTTTCTAGGATAATCTTAATGACCTCGAAATACTTTTCAAAATATATCAAACTTTTTGAGATTCTCAGTAGATAGAGCATTGAAATCCGTTGTCAGAATTAGAAGTTCAGACTTTGGTTATGTCATACTCAATAAAAATATTTTCAATTTTATTAAACGTCAGAGCTTTCAATATGTGAAAAGGTTTAGCTGAAGTTAAATAATTTTTTACAATATTTCTACCGAAGATACCCATGAAAAAAGTATGATGGAAAACAAAATTTTATGATCAAACCACTGAATAAGAATGAAGTGACAATTCAAATACTATTCTGAACTCGTTTCGTCTTATGGTCAATTTAGAGTAGCTTTTTTGCTAATTTCATTAATTCTTTTTCAACAATTTATCTTCTGAAATCCTCATATGCAAATTATCGAATTTAATTCATAGAATGATAGCCTAAGAATAATTCAAAAGCCCCAATAGAAGTTTTTTTTCACTGCTGTCCAATGAATATCGCTCAACAACATGTATAGAGCTAAAACTTTTACTCCAACCTCTCTAATGCAATATAAACTTATTCTGAAATTTTCATGTAATTTGAATGCACTTGATCTAAAATCGATTTTAGGCAGATGGGAGTCTTTAGTATTGTTTATTTTTTAATATCCACATCTAGCTATACATACATTGTCTTGTTGGTCACAGCCATACGAGCACGAATCAAATCGAGTGGATAAGTAAATGTTGCCGATGTGACACCAGCCAAAGAGCCAGCCATGAAACGAAGACCAGGTGTTCGTCTGCAAAAATTCATATAGAGAAATTACAACACATATCACTGCAATGATGGCGTTTTTTTAAATTCTAATTATTATCGATTTATGACCACTATTTGAAGTATTTTTCCTTGCTTTCGGCCTGTTTAGTTTCTAAAGGAGGATTTAATAGAAGCCTCTTAGTCGCATACAACAAGCACTAGCTGTTATGGGACTCAGCTGTATTGAAAAAAAATTGACCTTAAATTTGTATCGAATTTTCATGAGCTCCTCCTTACGGACACCATTGCTTGAAAATGAATTTTCGAAAGGAAACAATCGCTTCGAAAAGAATATGAAAAAGTAATAGTCATTATCTGATTCTCGAAAGAAGGACGTTTTAGAATATTCAAACTTAAGCTTGTCAATGCCTGAGATCGACGAAGAAAACTTTATCCAAACTGCATATAATGATACAGTAAACAATTCTGTACAAAATGAAACATTCCCGACTCCTCTTCGACGTGTTTTGATCGAACTAGGTCAAATTTACTAAAGACTCAAAATGATCCCTTGAACAAGGACAGATTACTTATTCTATCTGCTCAGAATTTTAGCATATCCAAGACTTAAATTGTTAATCAATACGACATTTTGAAGCTACAAATGTTTTCTGTTGCATTTCAGATGGTATTTGTATCTTGTTTTACGATGAAATACTTGTGGTTAGAAAATTCACTTTCACCTGTTACTATCTGCGAGAGAAAGATGGCTGTAAAGTAGTCACATTTGTAAGGCGAAGAGCTTCCAAACTTCGATACAATCTTATATTCACTATTTTTCTATAGCAGATTGCATAAAAGTAATGAAATACAGGATGAATCAAGAGTTACTAAACCGAAACGAAACAAAATATTTCCGATATAGTTTGACTAAAATTGTTGAAATTTTTATCACTGATAAAGAAGTATTTATAGGTCACATTGATGAGAGAAACAATAATAAACATTGTTTTAAAGTATCATTCCTTACTACAATAAAGAACTGCAACTGTAGATGCCTTATGAAACGAAAGATCATATAGTTGTTCGATTATTCAATATTACATTATACTGAGCTTCTTTGATTGATTTTCCACACTCCTGTGAAAACTCGTCGATCTATACTAAAAACATGAACTAGTGTAATCAACATAAATCACAGACATTGGTTTTTATTCTTTGCTAAAGCCGATCTTGTCTAACCTTGTAATGTCACTTTCATCGATTTTCAAAGAAAACATCATAATGATTCGATCAAATTCGATGTGATCGGTAGAATTTTTACATGTCTAGACTAATAAACATTGATGGAGAATCTGAAAAAACGGATTTGACGGAGTAAAATTAAAAGAATTTGATAAATTTGATCTCATCCTCAATATGACAGTTTTCTTTTACGAAAAGAAACGAGTCTTGTATGAAATTCTGGTCAAGATCGTTCTTCACAAATTCTATTTCTGGTTTAAGATGTTTCATACTCGTTCTTATCCGTTTCAAGAATGCGTTTCCATTGTTCATGTGCTGTATAATTGATGGCTGCCGACGGTAAAACACGAGCCATATTCGCCGAATTACCACGATACCAACTTAGTAAACCTTCATTATGAAATGAAGCTTTCAAAAATTGAAAGCAACCACGGTAACTGAATTTGGAAGATGTAACTAGAAGAAAAGCAAACAATTGTTATAATAATTAACTCTTTATGATTACCTTGAAAAGTAATTTTGGCTCGATCTAGTGGTGCAATCACTGTTTTTGCTACAGCCGCTAGAAAGTCATGAATACTAAATTTAATGTACATATATAATAGTACAATCACTTACCGGCACAAGCACCGGCAAAAAGTGATGTGCTAACGTTTTCTGTGTTAGAAAGCTAAAAAGAAAGCATAATATCGGAGTTCACCGCTATGTGTACTTCTCACTTACTGATAAATGTTCGTTTTCTTGCTTATTCATTTGAACCTATGCTAATTCAGAGTTGAGAATTACTAATTGTCCTCGAAAGCTCCATCTTACTTACCGATCTTTTACCTCAATGTGAACTTCGACTTTATATGATATGTTTATAGCTATTAAGATTAGATAAAATCGAACAGTTAGGAGGATATTTATTTGTATTTAACGAACTAATTCACATACAGTTCAATAGAATATTTGATGCAGAACAAAACAGTATGTTTGACGGAAGATCAATTGAAAAAATTGCCGTAAAAATTTCAAACATATGAAGTTATCATGCACAAACATATTTATTCGAATAGATATACTGCTCCGTATCATTGAATCATTGTGCAAAAGAACAGACCCAGTCATGTGGAACAAATGCAAACAACGTCTTTATTGTATGTGAGACTAAGAACGAAGACACATTTGCTACTAAGCTGCTTCAAGTGTATACATTACATTGATTAGCAATATTTGTGAACAGTTGTTCTAAATCAATACGGCTAAAGCCATTAAACTATAGACCTTATACTGATTATGGAATCTGCTAAACTAACCAAGACAAATATCTTGAAATCTGGTTAAGTTCAAATCTCGAAAAGGCCCAAATAAAAATACACAGGAAAGAATCTGAAAATGTAAAAAAAGTGTATTCATATCTCAATGCGAAAAATTCATCAAAAGGCATGCTTCATTGACAGTTACTGATAAAATGTGACTATTTTTTTCTCCCTTTATATTTTGTTTAATGCTCTGTGAGATCTTGTTGCCCGATAATTTTGTCACTTTAATTTTGTGTCATCGAGTTCATGACAGATTTTAACTATTATTAACTCAGACGTTTTCAGAATGTGCATACACAAAAGCAATCAAAACACGTAGCGAAACTTTTCAGTCGATATTTAATCGATATAATAGAATGGTGCTGAGAAATTATTCAATCAAATAGGATTATTATTATACCAGTTTATTCTTATTTTTCAAATTCCATATTCATAGTCATCAAATTATCCATATAAAAATTCTACCGACAAATCAGATTTGAACTGATCACAATTACTTTTTTTTGTAATAAAAATTGTTTTAAATCACAATACAAGGTGAACCAAGATCGTCTTTACCGAGGAACTTATTATAGGGATTGATCTATACAAGTTTTGTAAATCTTTTTAGATCGCATCTTTTGGTAACGAACTCAAGGTTTTATCATTTATGTATCTCGAGATAAATGCGAAATAAAAATGATACAAAATTGTAGACACCTAGCAGTAAAAAATTTCGCCTTGTTTTTCGAATATAATTTAATACTTGAAACTGCATTGCATATTTGTTGTACATGTATCACACAATGCAATGCGTTCCGAGCTTTCGTTCGATATATGTTTAGTTAAAAAATAATAGGAGTATATTAATGGAAAAACAAAAAGTAGAGGATCAAATTGGCGTGCACTGTACTTCAAAGATTGTATCTTTAGAATTGATCACGGCAGTATAGTATCTAAGTTAATCAACCTAGATTTAGGAACGCCTGAAGACAACTGTTTTAGTCCTGTGACTTATGTAGTTAGTTATCTACGAAGATTTATCTCTAATATTAGCTAATCCAACGGTATCATAGGCCTTTGTCAAGGATAAAGGAACCGTCTATCTCCCACCAATCTATTTAAAATTCAAGCATCAAATCCTGAGTATTGAAAACTGCAGTAAGGTTTTTCCAGACTTCGAAATCATTTGTCGGACAGAGTCTATTCAATTTCCATGGAAGTCTCAGGATTCATGGAATCTACCATGGGTAGGGTATTCGACAACTTTCGACTCTTTACCATCAGGTTTTTAGTATATGTTTGTCAAGTTCGTGTCGGAAAATACTTCTTTCGGCCGCTCAGAATTCTACTTTTTCAAAGTTTCCACTTTTTAGACGAACGAACTCGGTGATAAGTTCAACAACTCCATAAAATACTCAAAAAATGGTAGTTTCTTTTGAAAAAAGGTTCCCTTGCTTAAGGAAATATACCCGAACCAAAAAATCGGAGTGTGTTTTGCTCTTTAAAAATTGTGTTCTTTACATCAAAACAAAAGCAATTATACAGTATAAACCGTTTCCACGTTAATTACGTAATAGCATTAAATCTGAACTTGGTTCAGTCGGCGAAGATATTTTGTCG